ACAGCCTGCATTATAGACACCATTCCCCTCTCCATTACAACCAGGATGGAATCCTTGGCATCTGCACATGTAGGAAGCCACCTGGTCATGGGTTGTCTTTAGGTTGCATTGCTTTTCTAGACTTCAAAATCCACCTCTGCATGGTCTTTAGGACGAATTGGCATTTATTTCTATGGCTTTCTTGATGCCTCTGTTCTTTGTCCCCCCTCTACTGGGGATGTATAATCCCTCTACTTATAACTGAGTTGGAGACAGTGTGTGAGGATGTATGTCTAGTAAATGTCCCTACTGTTCTCTCTGTTTGATGGCTTGGATGGTGATGAAACAAGTGGAAGTGTGAGGAAGAAGGAGGTCTTCTAAAAAATAATAAACCTAGGCTGGGTTTGGTGGTGTGTGCCTTTGGTGGTGTATCCCAGCACTTGGGAGACAGAGACAGGTGAGTCTATGAATTCAGGGTAGCACGGTCTACATAGTGAGACCCTGTCTTCAAAAAAGTTAAAAGAAGTAAACCTGGGGAAGAGGAGCACAGTTACTCTCATATGACTGATTATGGTTGTTCTACCCAGGTAGGCACAAGGTCTCCAGTTACCTGACCAGGACCAATCAAGTTTCTGAATTCTTTTAAGTACCTTCTTGAGACTGCATAGCTGCATAGTCACTTTCTCAAGGTGATTTGATCTCATGGTTGAGATCTCTTTTTTTTTTTTTTTTTTTGGATTTTTCGAGACAGTGTTTATCTGTGTAGGTTTGGAGCCTATCCTGGCACTCGCTCTCACTCTGGAGACCAGGCTGGCCTTGAACTCACAGAGATCTGCCTGCCTCTGCCTCCCGAGTGCTGGTATTATAGGCATGTGCCACCAACACCCAGTGGTTGAGATCATTTTTATGTCTTTCACTGACATTAAAAGTTTTGATTCACTTGCCAAAACCTTGCCTCCCTCCTCTATCTTATAAAACTGGGATATCATTATTAGCTAGAAGGCCAGACATGGTGGCACATACCTATATTCCTAGTAATCTCAGCACTTGGGAGAGACAGGAGATGTTCAATATTAACTAGAAAGGATTATCCTTGAATATCCCATATTGAAGACTTGAGTCCTAGAGCTGTGCATATGTGGGGCTTCCAGATATTCTTAATTTTGGCTTAGTGGTGAGTGGACTTCTATTACCTCATTGTGGATGTGACTTGTCTTAGTTCTGCTTGGCTGTTCCTTTGCCTCCTCTCCCACCCTGCTTTCCTTCTTTTCTCCACCTAAGGCCATCCCTGCCTTTTCTCTTTCACTTGCCATCAGCTGTCTGTGCCAGGCCCTTTCGGACACCCAGTGCTTGGGGCTGCAGTGTGGTTGGTAATGTGGAGTCTGCTTGTCATCCTCAGCATCCAGCCATGCCCTGATGTAAAGTATGGCAAACGTATCCACGTGCTACCCATCGATGACACGGTGGAAGGCATCACTGGCAATCTCTTTGAGGTATACCTTAAGCCCTACTTCCTGGAAGCTTATCGACCTATCCGTAAAGGTGAGAGAAATTGAGTTTAAGACTGGTTGTTACTTGAATAAACTTTGGAAAAATTCTATGTTATTTTCATATGTATGACTATGCATATATGTATCCTGCACACATGTTTAATTGTCTGTCCTCTTACCTCCTTCTGTGCTTCAGGACAGTAAGTAGTTCTCATGTATCTCTGAAGGATGATCTGTTTTTTCTGGCTGTCAAGTTGAAAGTTGGTTACAGTGAAAGCTTAGGTTGTCTGTACCCTAATAGTTAAAAAGAGCTTTTGTCATATCATTTCTGTATACTAGTCTTGAGTAGTGGAGGAATGTAATACAGATTAGAGTTTTACTATTACCTGTTGTAGTGAAGGAGGGTATAAGTAATATCTACTGTATTTTAGATAGATCATGGGGTCTGTTGAAGAATTTTCTCTTGGTCTTATACCTGACACCTCTAAGTTCGCTTGTATTGCTTTGTTATAGGAGATATTTTCCTTGTCCGGGGTGGGATGCGTGCTGTGGAGTTCAAAGTAGTAGAGACAGATCCCAGCCCTTACTGTATTGTTGCTCCAGACACAGTGATCCACTGTGAAGGGGAGCCAATCAAGCGAGAGGTGAGTTGCCCTGATCCCAGTTCTTAGTTTTTTGTTTGTAGTGCTTGGGAATTGAATCCAGGGTCTTGTGTATGTCAAGCAAGTATTTTGCCACTGAAATAAATCCCCATCTCCCAATGATATTTCCACTCAAGTGACATTTGTATTGGTTGTCCAGCTGAGTGCTTTTGGAGATTAGATGGCCTTATGGAAGTGGAAAACCACCTAAGTATTTATTGAAAGAACCAATGCCATCGCATGGATTTTCGATAAAGCCTAAAGGATGTAAACGAATGGCATTGAGTATGGTGGTACATGTCAATAATCCTAATGCTTACGAGGTGGAAATGGGAGTATTGCTGTAAGTTTGAGTCTAGCATGAATGGTCTATGAAGTGAGATCCTGTCTCAAAAAATAAAAACAGTCTAAAGAGATGACTTGGTGGTTAGGAGCACAAGCTGCTCTTCCAGAGGTCCTAGGTTTAATTCCCATCACCCACATGACTGTGTTTGATCATATTATCCCTCTTTGCTCCACTCCCCCTTGTTTGTTTGTTTTTTTGTTTTTTCAAGACAGGGTTTTTCTATAACAGTCCTGGCTGTTATGGAACTCACTTTGCAGATTAGGCTCTGCCTCCCTAGTGCTGGGATTAAAGGCATGTTCTACCACTGCCCAATTTGTTTGTTTTTGAGACAAGGTCTCACTGTGTTGCTTAGGCTGGCTTGTAACTCAGGTATGCTTGCCTCTCTGCTTCCCAAGCGGATTAAAGGCATGTGCCACAATTCCCAATATCACTGATCCCCCTTTTCTCTTAAATCTTCATGTATGTTTTTTTTCTTTTTTGTTGGTGGCCCACTAAATTTTTTTAGAGTTGATCATTGGTATGGGGGGTTATTGAACAGCTGCAATTTACATGACTGACTCTACCACTAAGGAATATGATTCCTTCTCCAAGCAGCCATTAAGTGCCTGTAGCTCCTCAGGGTCGGGTGGTGCCTTATAAACCACCACCATGACATTCAAAATGGGGCCAATTTGTATAGGGATCTTTTATCAATAAGACTACGGACTGTGAGAGAGGTTTGGGTTGTATTTTGTTTATGTTGGTCCCCCCTACCCCCTGAAAAGGGTATTGCTATATAGGCTGTCCAGAACTCACTTTGTAGCCTGAGCTGGCCTCAGATTTGGTCTTTCTGCCTCTAAGGCCTTTCAAGTGTTGAGATTATAGACATGTGTGTCTGGCTTAAGATGAGATCACTGTGGAAGAGAATCTTCTCACACAGCATATTTTTTTCCCACACCAAATAGTGGGAAGATTTAGAGAAATTGCATTTTTGCTGACAATACTATTCCTGTTTTTTTTTTTTTTTTTCCATATTTAGGATGAGGAAGAGTCTCTGAATGAAGTAGGCTATGATGACATTGGTGGCTGCAGGAAGCAGCTAGCTCAGATAAAGGAGATGGTGGAACTGCCACTGAGACATCCTGCACTCTTTAAGGCAATTGGTGTGAAGGTGAGCATCCTGAGCTCTGTAGGGAATCTAAGATGGTGCATAATAACACTCAAGTGTCTAATCCATGACTGATTTCATAAATGGTTTAAAGAGGCAATAATAATATTCTTTGCGTTTATAGAAGGCTCTAATTCATTAGAGCCATTGTCAAGAACAAAATGGGTAGTATATTGTGTGTGTGTGTGCGCGTGTGTGTTTATGTACAGGAACATATTCACAAATATACTTAATAGTTCTTATTTCATGGATCATAGTAAAGTCTTCATTGTAAGTTTGCCAATCTTTGTAGTTAATTACTCAATAAAAGAAGAAAATTTATTGAACATTAGGTTCCTGAGTTAAACATTTGAAAACCATCTATCTAGAATAGTTTTCTGACTTTTCTATGTATTAGAACACACCAAAGATGAAATGACTAATTTGCCTAGTAAGCATACAAATGGTTTTGTCTTCCTTGACATCAGTTTTAGCCTGTGGGTAAGGCTGCAGGCAACTTGAAAGAGGAAAAGTTGTAATTGATTATTGATTATAGAAAGGCCATTTGGGCTGGGCAGAGCACTCGGGAGGCAGAGGCAGATGGATTTCTTAAGAGTTCGAGGCCAACCTGGTCTATAGAGTGGGTTCCAGGACCCCCCCCCCAATAAACCTAAGAGTATATCAGAACAACAGTTCTCGACCCTGTGGGTCATGACCATTGGAAAACATATTTCCGATGGTCTTAGGAATTGAGATACCTCAGTAGCAAAATTACAGTTATGAAGTAGTAACGAAAATTTATGGTTGTGTGTTCCTAAGACCATCAGAAATATGTGTTTTCTGATGGTCGTGACCCACAGACTGAGAACCTCTGTCCTAGAAGGTTGTAAACACCTCTGAAAGCCATTAACAGTAAAAAAGAGACCTTGCTTTATTTAATAGCCTAGATCCTGGTTTGCCAAATTGAGCCCTTGACATAACTTGTTAGACTCTTATGCAAATTGAATTTATGAATGTTACCAGCTTGTTGGCATCACTTTTTCTATCAGTAACAGAAACGTGTATGATTATCTAATCAGTTTTTACTTCTAAGGAGTATTCTTTGTGGTTTTTGTTTAACTGTTTGCTTTGGGCAGTGGCAGGGGGTAGGGAGCTTAAGAAAGGTTTTCTATGTAGTTCCTGGCTATCTTGGAACTTACTGTGTAGACCAGGTTAGTCTCAAACTTAGATCTGCCTACTTCTGCCTCAGTGCTAGGATTAAAGATGTGTGCCATCAGACCTGGCTCTTTTTGTTTGGTCTTCCATTGTATTCAGGTCTGGCCTCAAGCATGTAATCCTTCTACCTTATCTTTCTCAGCTGTGATTATAAACATGTCTCAAAAGCTTGTTCTTTTTTATTATTTTTATGTGTACCATGAGCTTTCAGTGTTCACAGAAGCCAGAAGAAGGCATCAGATCTACTGGAACTGGAGTTACAGGTGGTTTTCAGCCACAACCAGAGTCCTATGGAAGAGCAGCCATTGCTCTTAAATGCCGTGGTTCTTGCCCCTTAATAGAGCCCTAGTCAAACTAGTTTAGGATGGATGGAGTTAGGGGAGGGTGAGTTCCTGATCTTAAACACTCTATTGTCCTTAGCCTCCTCGAGGAATCTTGCTATATGGACCTCCTGGGACAGGGAAAACCCTGATTGCCCGAGCTGTGGCAAATGAAACTGGAGCCTTCTTCTTCTTGATCAATGGTAAGAAACTTGGCCTATCTGTATCTGACTAGACCCATTTATGAGTTGGGCAGCTCACAGACATATCCATTAACACCCATATTCTTCAGCATATTTTTAAAAATTGTTTTAACCAGTTTGTTCTGTATTTTGTCTGTGTTTATGTCTGTATATTGTGTGTGTATAGTGCCCGAGGAGTCCAGAAGAGAGCATCAGATCCTCTAAGAACTGGAGTTAAAGCTTATTATGAACCACCATATGGGTGCTAGGGATTGAACCGGGACCTCTAGCAGAGTAGCCAGTGCTCTTAACTGCTGAGTCATCTCTCTCACCTAGTTTTTAAGCTGTGTGTGTGTGTGTGTGTGTGTGTGTGTGTGTGTGTGTGTGTGTGTGTGTGTGTACAAGCAAAGGTGTGCACGTGCACGTACTATTCATTCATGTGTAGGAGTATGCATGCACTATTAGGTTGACTAACCAGTCAGCCCTAGGAATCCACATATTTCTCCAGTGCTGGCTTTACAAGTGTGTGTTACCATATCTATTTTTCTGTCTTAACAATAGGTTTAGGGATCTAACTTGGGTATTCATCATACTTCTAAGGTGGGCTCTTTAGTACCTGAGCTATCTTTATAGTCTCACTTAAGCATTTTCTGATGAATGAGTATGTTTTGGGGGTGGAGAGATGGTTTTCACTATGTGGGCCCTCTAATTTGCTTTGTAGCCCAGGCTGGCCTTGAACTCACAGAAAACTGCCTGTCTGCCTCCTAAGTGCTGTGATTCTTTCTGTCTTTTATTTCCTTGAAAAAGATTGTGCATAACCTGAAGACATTTGGGGAAATAGGTGTAATAGTAAATCAAAAGTTTTTGCTTATTTTGTTTTAGAATCAGAGTTTCACTCTGTAGTTCTGATTGTTCTGGAACTCAGATCCACCTGCCTCTGCCTCCCAAGTGCTGGGGTTAAAGATGTGAGCCATCACCACTTGGATAAAATCTGTATTCTTATCTGAGAGTCTTTGGGGAATATGGGCTGAAACATCTTTTGTCTTCAGAATGATACTTAGATCTTGGATCCAGTGGTAATTAGCCTTTTTATAAATCATCTTTGTCATCTTCACAGTTGAAACTGTGTTATGGAATATATGCAGAATCCATTTGCTTCTTTCTAGTCTGGTCTGGTAGCTCTGGCTTGATAATGGGTGGAGAATGTTATGAGAGACAGAAATTATTGCATTCTTATTCAGAACTTGTGTTGGGGCTAGGGGGAAAAGTTTCTTTTGGGATTGGGGGAGGATGGATTTTTGTTTTCTTTTAAAAAAACAACTATTTTATTAATTTATTGTGTTTGTATGATCATACACACATGGAAGTCATAGGACAACTTGAGTTTCTTTGTACCATGTGGGGTCCAGGATTAAACTCTGTTTGTCAGGCTTTTGCAACAAGCACAGTAACTGGATAAGCCATCTCATTGTTCTGTATCTTTTCAGGACCTGAGATCATGAGCAAATTGGCTGGTGAATCTGAGAGCAACCTTCGTAAAGCCTTTGAGGAAGCTGAAAAGAATGCTCCTGCTATAATCTTCATTGATGAGCTTGATGCCATTGCGCCCAAAAGAGAGAAAGTAGGAACTTACCAAGGGGATGGTGGGGACTTGAAAGGTCCTGCCGTAGCTCTAACCAGACATACTCTTTTCACAGACTCACGGGGAAGTAGAGCGTCGTATCGTGTCTCAGTTGTTGACCCTTATGGATGGCCTGAAGCAGAGAGCACATGTGATAGTTATGGCAGCAACCAATAGACCCAATAGCATTGACCCGGCCCTACGGCGATTTGGTAAAGACCTCAAACTCTTTCCAATGTGTTCTTTTGTTTGTTTGGTTTTTCAAGACAGGGTTTCTCTGTGGCTTTGGAGGCTGTCCTGGAACTCTGTAGACCAGGCTGGTCTCAAACTCACAGAGATCCGCCTGCCTCTGCCTCCCAAGAGCTGGGATTAAAGGTGTGTGCCACCAAAGCCTGGCCACCAACTCATTCTTATACTCCACGGTATATTACAGTTCTGCTGGCTTGATTTCTTTATCTCACCTGTCTTTCATCTACATTGTTTTTTTTCTATTCTGTATTCCCTCTAGAGCAGTGGTTCTCAACCTTTCTAATGCTGCCACCCTTTAATACAGTTCCTCATGTTGTGGTGAGCTCCCTGATCATAAAATTACGTTGTTGCTACTTTCATAACTAATTTTGCCACTGTTACGAATCATAATGTAAATATCTGATATGGGAAGGGCCCTTTGACCCCAAAGGGGTTGTGACCCACAGGTTGAGAACCATTGCTCTAGAGTAACTACCCGTCTTGGTTTCCCTAAACCTGAAGAATTTCCAGGTTGTGAGGCATTAATGTTAACTCTAAATAAGAGAGTTTTGGAGTGACTTCACTGTGGACCAGAAATTGTTCCTATTTTACATTCCTGCATTTTCCCACAGGTCGCTTTGACAGAGAGGTAGATATTGGAATCCCTGATGCTACAGGACGCTTGGAAATTCTTCAGATCCATACCAAGAACATGAAACTGGCAGATGATGTGGACTTGGAACAGGTGGAGTGGTGATGATGGCTGGCCAAAACCTTGGGTAGCTCTGTTTTTAGGAAGTTGCAAGGGACTACTAACATAGTCTAAGATAAGAGTTCATATCAGTAATCCCAGAATTTGGGGAGGGTGAGGCAGAGGCAGGAGGATCTTGAGTTTGAGGTCAGTGTGGGCTACCCAGCAAGAGTCTATCTTTTCATTTTTTTTTTTTTTTAGAGCTGCATGGAGCTTATTTTGATTTCAGGGTAGAAAATGTGTTTCTTAATTGTTGCTCTGTTAAGAGTAATTCATACATTGTTGAACAGCTTTATTTCTAGCTCCCAAATCCAGGCTTAAGTATTTAATACTTGCCACTAAAAGGTCTGCTGTAGTATATATCTCTTTAAGGAAATAAAAGGAATCAGAGATAGGAATCGGGGTGGACTCAGGATTCTGTTTCTGACTTCTTAAGGAAGTGGTTTCTTGAGGATAGTCAGTAGATCTTTTCTCTGCAGGTAGCCAATGAGACTCATGGCCATGTAGGTGCTGATTTGGCAGCCCTGTGTTCAGAGGCTGCTCTGCAGGCCATCCGGAAAAAAATGGACCTTATTGATCTTGAGGATGAGACCATTGATGCAGAGGTCATGAATTCCTTGGCAGTTACTATGGATGATTTCCGGGTAAGGACTATATCCACAAATAGTTATTTTGTTGTATGCACCCCCCACCCTCCATCTCATTCCCCTTTTTCAAACACCCTTTTTAGTGGGCCTTGAGTCAAAGCAACCCATCAGCACTTCGGGAAACTGTGGTAGAGGTGCCACAAGTAACCTGGGAAGACATTGGAGGCTTGGAAGATGTCAAACGGGAGCTTCAGGAACTGGTTCAGGTAGGCCAATTTGCTCTAGGGTGGTGGGTCATTGCCTCAATGTATAGTAATTGGCCGTTTAGGTCTCAGACTCAAATCTACTTAGAATTGTGACTATAATTCAGAAGCCTGCTCTTACTGAGTTTTAGGTAGTAAGGAGCCTATTTAAAAACTAGCACCATAGACCATAGGATGTGCCACAAAGTAGATGATATGCTTCTGATTTTTTTAAAAGATTTTATTTATTTATTATGTTTGCCTGCATGCCAGCAGAGGGCACCAGATATCATTCAAGGTGGTTGTGAGCCACCAGATAGTTGCTGAGAATTGAACTCAGGACCTCTGGAAGAACAGTCAATGCTCTTAACTGCTGAGCCACCTCTCCAGCCCTATGCTTCTGATTAATAACGATTTTATTTAAAATATTGAGAGGTTGCCCTTAAATCATCTTTGCTTTCTTCTAGTATCCTGTGGAGCATCCAGACAAATTCCTCAAATTTGGAATGACCCCTTCCAAAGGTGTTCTCTTCTATGGACCTCCTGGTTGTGGGAAGACCTTGCTGGCCAAAGCCATTGCTAATGAATGCCAGGCTAACTTCATCTCTATCAAGGGTCCTGAGCTGCTCACCATGTGGTTTGGGGAATCTGAGGCCAATGTCAGGGAAATTTTTGACAAGGTGAGTTTTCAGAGGCTGGCTGTTCATATGTTTGGGGGCAAGGTAAGATAGGAGGCTATTTCTTCATAGTCAAAACTATTTTATTACTGGCAGCTCAGTGATTGCTTTCTTCTGAAGTTTGAGAGATTAATTAATATTTGAGTTGATCTCTTTCTTTCTCCCAGGCACGGCAAGCTGCCCCCTGTGTACTATTCTTTGATGAGTTAGATTCAATTGCCAAGGCTCGTGGTGGTAATATTGGAGATGGTGGTGGAGCTGCTGACCGAGTCATCAATCAGATCCTGACAGAAATGGATGGCATGTCCACAAAAAAGAATGTGTTTATCATTGGAGCTACCAACCGGCCTGACATCATTGATCCTGCTATCCTAAGACCTGGCCGTCTTGATCAGCTCATCTATATCCCACTTCCTGATGAGAAGTCCCGTGTTGCCATCCTGAAGGCTAACCTGCGCAAGTCTCCAGTTGCCAAGGCATGTGCAAAGTTGTCAGCCATGAAGCCTTTTTTTCTATCCTGGATAGGATGCCATTGGGGATTTGTAGGTTTTCTAAAGGCAATATGAGAGATTTGTGAATATTAGGATAATTTAAGAGATACAGAATAAAATGGGGTGGCAGAGCCAAGAGTAGCTCAAAGATCTATGTGTCCCATGGGAGGCAGTTAACGATGCTAAACTAAGTAGCTTTTTTGCTTCCTTTAGGATGTGGATTTGGAGTTCCTGGCTAAGATGACAAATGGCTTTTCTGGAGCTGATCTGACAGAGATTTGCCAACGTGCTTGTAAACTGGCCATTCGTGAATCTATTGAGAGTGAGATTAGGCGAGAACGAGAGAGGCAGACAAATCCATCAGCTATGGTGAGTCAGTATCTTTGTTCAAATGTGCCATTCTAGGGACCATCCTCCATGACCCAGAGTTGAGAGTAGAAGGTATTAGGAGGGTCCCTTTACTGAGATGTTAAGCAGGGAATCCTAGAAAATGAATAAACAGCTAAGCTGGGTGTGGTGCAGGCATATTCCAGCTCTCGGTGAATGCAGCAAGATGAGAAATAAAGGGCCCTACATGAGACTTTTAGAGATAAAGGGTTGGGTTGGGTAAGCTTGATGCCTTGAGGGAAATGAAAGTATGATTGTGCAACAGAACAGAACAGGGTTTTTTATTTATTTAATTTTATTTTTATATGCACTGGTGTTTTGCCTGCATGTATATGTGTGTGAGGGTGTCTGATTCCCTGGAACTGGAGGTATGGACAGTTGTGATCTGTCATATGGGTGCTGGAATTGAGCCTGGGTCCTCTGGAAGAGCAGCCAGTTCTCTTAACTGCTGAGGCATCTCTCGAACCCTCTGGAAAAGGATTTTTAAACTGAAGTCTGGACTTCAGCATCCTGGTGGGGAAGGGAATTCTTGTACTCTCAAAATAGAAAAATTAAGTATAAGAATGTAAAAACTATGAAATTTACAATTCTGTCTCTACTGTAGTTCCACTGTTTGGAGGTTTGTGAATGAATAAGAAATGAGCAAGTTGCTTTCTTTACCCTTTGGAGAGGTCCTTTGTGTCAATAAACTGCTACAGTGGTGGGAGGGAAAGGAGTCGAGGAATAGAGTGAAAGCTGGGTCCTAACTAGCATAGTGATCGGTGCTTACCAACTTCATAGGAAGTAGAAGAGGATGATCCAGTGCCTGAGATTCGCAGAGACCACTTTGAAGAAGCCATGCGCTTTGCTCGTCGTTCTGTCAGTGATAATGACATTCGAAAGTATGAAATGTTCGCCCAGACACTTCAGCAAAGTCGAGGTTTTGGCAGCTTCAGGTAATTTTGTTAATTTTGTTGGTGGCATCGTGCAGTTCCTAAGTTGTTTGGGGGACTTGTAGACAGTGGTGGGAGTCATAAGGAGGCTAGAGCAATAGCTGTCAAAACCTTGCAAGAGCCCTATCCATATTTTTTTTTTTGGCTTTTTTCTTGTATATACAGATTCCCTTCAGGGAACCAGGGTGGAGCTGGCCCCAGCCAGGGCAGTGGCGGTGGCACAGGTGGCAGTGTGTACACAGAAGACAATGACGATGACCTGTATGGCTAAGTGAAAAGCCAGCATGCAGCGAGCTGGCCTGGCTGGACCTTGTTCCCTGGGGGTGGGGGCACTTGCCCAAGAGGGACCAGGGGTGTACCCATGGCCTGTTCCATTCCTCAGTCTGAACAGTTCAGCTCCAGTCAGACTCTGGACAGGGGTTTTCTGTTGCAAAAAAAAATTACAAAAGCGATAAAATAAAAGTGATTTTCATTTGGGAGGTGAAGAGTGAATTACCAGCAAGGAATTGGGCCTTGGGCCTACACCATTTCTGTTGTAGTGTGGGGTGGTGCTGGCAACCTGTGGGGTGTGAACCAAGGCACTACCCTT